TGAAGAATCCATGAGGGACAATTTCGTAAATCCACCGGAAGTTTTATCACTCCAGACTTCAGATGGCCGTGGTGGCGTGATGGACGAGTGATATCTTAAACTCTTCCATGAGCTACAATTTGTCAAATTTCATAAAACCGGAGGCAGCTAGCTACTTAACACTGTGCGGTGCATCTAAATAAGGTCCTTAAAAGTTCAAGTGTTGTGGTGGCATAAAAAAAAGCAAAATTGTATCTTTTGACCATCATTTGTTGAGTCCACTAACATCACGCTCTTTAACTTGGATCATCACAGTGAAAGACCTTGAGAAATTGTATGGCATCGTAACGCAAGGTTGCTAACCTTAGATGAAGTAGGCTCCAGAAGCGTTGTCGAAGGAGGAAAGACGGTAAAAGTAATCGTTACTATTACAACCTTTAGTTACCATGATATAGGCGAGGTTTTCAGTGTTGACAATACTGTAAGTCTCAACTTCGTTTGCCAGTCGTCGATAATAAAAGTACTGAGGTGTTACACTGTTGTAAAGATTGACCCCCATTAATTTTCAGAATTTGCGGGATGGGAATGACAGTTTTAAGTTAAAATGTTTGTCGAATTTGGTTCCTCACTTTTACCACCAGTGACCTCAAATATTTGGTTATATTTTATCCCACTGGTGTGGTAGCAATCGCTCATTCAAAAAAGGATGTTTGTTTGTAAAAATTGGTGTGGATACTCGTACAGAGTTCAGAGCAATACAGTCTTTAAGTGAAATTCAAGTCTTTTTTGTGATGTAACCACATTTATCGGATAAAATACAGTTTCTCAATCTATCGATTTCCCACTTTCATGTGCTACGCCGTGAAAAGTCAGTTGCACGTAGTGACAGAGTGTATGATTTCTTATTGGATTCAATATGAGGATAGACTACCAACAAATAACTCATTAACTGGTAAGTGAGACTGTTTTTTCCAGATCTCCATCTATGACAGTCAAGCTTGGCACTTACAATGAATCTGCGTGACGGGCAGACAATTGTTACTAGTCTCTTTGATTTAACTCTCGGTAAACAAATCTCTTTTGTATGGTTTTTTAAATGCAGTCTACTCTGTCGAAAAGTTTTTTGTAATACAAATAAAGGCGAATATAGGAGATATTTGGTTGGGGTGCATGTAATTTTGCCTGAACATAAAGGATTTTTAGGTCAGCAGTAGACCATTTATCATAAACGTAAACTGGATGCAGGTAATGTGAAATAATTTAAGGTAAAAAGTACATGACTCGTCATAAGTTCATAAGCGTTTACAACCCGGGACGAAAAATAGGAAAAAGTCTCATCATTTCCCCCAAGACGGGCAACAAGGAGGATTTTCTGATTCTTGACTCCCTTACTTTACCCTGATTTTCCCACCAAATACCCTCTTGATCCCCCTTTTTACTGGCTTCGTTTGGAACCACAAATTTTACAAAGAATGCTGAGTGAATTTAAGACTAAGAAAATCAAATATTTCCTCATTGTAGTAAGACCTGATTAACTATAGTGCAGAGCATGTTACTACTATTTACGGTAATTGAGGATAGGCGTAACTTTCTCCATTGGACATCCCTCTTCTAACTCGTGCAAGACAAGTGATCTATACAGTTCATGGTATTGTGCTCTCTCTATATATCTCCTATTTCGCATTGGATAATGTCTTGAGCCAAACTACTGTAGATACTGTAGGTTAATCATTGCAAAGCTATGCTAAAAAGGAAAGAAAATTGTTTATGTTACGTTCAATCAGTTTTAGGATTTTCAGACGTTGAAAGGCTACCTAAATATGGAAATCCTAATAAACCATGCTAACACACAAGTACCGTGAGAACTGAGTCGGGATACTCTCCTTAAATCTGGTCGGGAAAACGAAAGACACGGAAGTGTAGGAGAACCGAAATTACCAGCTCTACCTTAAGCAAACGGTCTTTTTCTCACCACAATGATTCTTACATCGTGACATAAACACCGTATTATTGGTGTAAGATCAGGTCAAAATGAAGTGGCTGAATTTCTGCTGTCTAGATCCCACTAGTAATCAGTTTCCTCTGACCGAGTTTGCAAATTGAAAGAGATTGATGCACGCTGTGTTTTACCGGAGAATCTCGATTTCCCCTTTGTGTATGTTTAGGTTTACTGCTGCTGAGGCTGCTGGTTTCTTAAGAATCGTAACAAAACTGATGCTGTTCAGTAATTAAAATCTCTAACACCTATTAATACAATCGCTTCGAGACACAGAGCGCGTACATTGGCTGTTAAAAATTCATTAATTAGTAAATGCGGATGAATTCTAAGCCAGAATGGCATAGTGAATCTAGTACGACATTACCTGTTTCCGATTAGTTAATGTCTGATCAGTGCTTAAATAGTTGCTGATTAGAACTTTTTGACATCTTCATGTGGCAATGTAACAATTTGACAACCACGAAAGATGATTAAAAATGCAATTAATGAAACTTTAAAGAGAAGTTAATAAAGTGACTTATACATGGAATGTTTTCACGCAGTTATATTCATCTAACAGATGATTTCTATATACTTTTCCATTAGTTCCCTCTTTACTAATCAGTCTATAAACTCACTGGTTTGGCTAAATGTTTAGCAACGCAAACATTTATGCAAGTTGTCATTTTAAGCAAACTCCATGTAAACTAAAACCATCACTGTCATATCCACCACAATCCTGGAAAACATTCATTACGTTGGGAGCTGTACTCCCCTTGTGCCCTTCCTAATGACCATACAAGTAGTAACCAATGCTCGTTACGTTACATAGCTTTCTTTAGCTAGAAGTGTTATGAAACAATGTCAAACATAATTTCAGTTGGTGTTGTTTACATGAATCTTCCGATTGGTGCTTAAGACTGCAATTGATCAGTTTCTTATTAGCGTATTTGCATACTGTACGTACTGCCCTGATATTGCCTTAATTCACAAGCATTATAAGCAAAGATGGATAGTGGCTAGCAGTGCAATCCAGGATGGGCGTTTCATCTTATTTGGGACGGTACAGGGTTCAGGTCCCAAAGAGAACATCAACTCTGAGATGTAGGTACAGCCAGCTCAAAGTCCAAAACAGGCGCGTCCTGGATTCCATTGCTAGCGACTATCCATCTTTGCTTATAATGTCAACAATACGTACATACGCCATTTTAATTTCGACAACCTATGATCACTAATTTTCATATGGATCGATTTACAACTTTTGTTTTGCCTTAAATCTGGAGATTGTTTGTATCTAAAAGTCGTGTTTTACTGATGCCAAGACAAGAGGAATAACTGGTTCGGTGTATACCAGGACAACCAGTCTATAGCATGTCTCTCCCGAAAGAATTCATCTTTAAGTATTTGTTCTCAGCTGTTCGTACAAAATTCATGAGATTCCCAGTACTGTCATCCAATGAAAGATTTTTGGCTACAATCTACGTTTTTGCAGAGTCACCGAATTTTATTACGGTTAAGCAAATTGTTGTGCAGCACACCCCTCAACTGAGTACACAGTATCAAGCCTAACGAACAAATTCGAACACCGATCGAAATTCTTATTCTCCGCGTCCATATCTCTGTTCCTTCCGTTACTTTACAGTTAGAGATCTAACTGAAATTCAATACATGCGGGCAGTGCACCGGGGAAATATGAACTGATCTGCGACTTTAACTCAAAGATAATGGCATTATCAACATTTCTAAAGTATCGATGAACAGAATCTCTCGACCTTCGGATTAACAGGTGCTGTACAAAAATGGATAGGAAACTTTTTATGTGACCACAGACAGAGAATGAGGGTCAGTGGGACTCTATCCGAATGGAAGCCGGTCAAAAGTGACGTACCCCAAGGCACCATCTCAGGCCCTCAACTTTTCCTTCACTACGTTAATTAATTACCGCTGTGATACTGAATAAAACCATTTAAATTCATATCTTATAAAGTACCAACCCAGTTGAGTAATTTACTACAATGAAAATTGTATCATTTGTAACAACTTTATCTTGCCTGTAAACTGGCATGTTTCATGTAATAAACTGTTATTTGAGAATAAATTATTATTATTAAGTTGTCGACATTATTGTTTTTGCGGACGATGTCAAAATCTGAAGAACAGTAAGAAGTAAGGCTGATAATTTTGACCTTCAAGCTAATTTAGATGAATTAGTTAGATGGGGCCGAGGTTTGGGCTCAGAAGTTAATTATGGGTAGAGTGTGCGCATGTACATCGGACATGGTAATAGTTACCATTATACTATTGATGGTGCATCTCTTCCACGCGTTCAAGAACATAAAGACCTAGGTGCAATAATAAGCCATGACTTGAAAACTACTACGCATCGCAACTCAGCTGCTTTCAAAGGTTTTCGTGCTTTATGATCACGTCGCCGAGCATTCAAATGCTTTGACGAGGAAATGTTTCGAATTTTATATCCCACCCGTGTAAGACCACTTACAGTACTGTACTCAAGCAGCTAGCCCAAGGATACCAACTCATTTGAGCGTCTTCAGCCTGTGAGAACAAAATTAGTGAAGGGTCTTCCTAAACTTCCTTACGATGAGCTCTTAAAACCCCTAAACCTTTTCCCCTTGTCGTATCGTAGGCGCGAAGTGGACTTATACTGGTATTTCATATTTTTAATTATTATTTGAGTGTTAATATGTCTTACCTTTTTGCTCCCTTCAGGACTAATAATCCCCGAGGTCATAGTAGGAAGGTACACAAACCGCGATCTAATAAACTTAAAGTGGTGTCCTTTTTTTCTCATCGAGTAGTCAATGACTGGGACGCCTTATCCGAACAAGTGATATAAGCCCCATCAGTGAATATTTTCAAAGAGAAGCCGGACCTTCATTGGAAAGAAATCTGTCAGGATTAACACCAACCTACTATCCTTAATACTGAAGACTGAATACTGATCACTATGACTCCGAGACGCACGACCGCGCGAAATGAGTTTAGAGTTTTCATTTCATCGTCCTTAGAGCTCTGTTATTGTGTGGAAGGAATATCTCCTGCATCAGTAGTCAAAGATGTTATCAAAGAAGCTGAACTTTGTTTTGGCATATCTAATGATCTCATGCACGTTAATTTTATTGATAGAGGTACCATTCCAATCACTGTAAAAATAAAATGTCTCTATAAACTTGAGGTGATCTGATTGATTCTTCCTCTTTGATGGAGTCAAATATCGTCAATGGGTCCACTTTGCATGTTACAACATCAAAATCACTGGAGGCCTTATTCAAGTCTATAATAACGAGTGATATGAATCTCGTAAGTGACTTCAAATAATATTTTTAGATTATACAAAATAGCTTATCGAAATTCTTCCCTTATCCATCTGGACCTTTCATCAGTATGCCAACAAAATATCAGCAGGACTACATTGCATCTCGTCTGAATACTGCTCTCCTGTTTGCTTCTGGAATGGGTTTGGCAAACGTTTGCAACACACTAATATGTTTAGGTAGGTGTTTTGTTCTGAATATGTTTACTTGACATGATCCATAGTTCCAATAGATGTATTTGTTAGACCTTAAGGTGTCAGTCATCCACACTTGCAGGAGCAGCGTTTATCTTTTTATCTGTTACCAAATGTATCTGCGCAGAGTCGAAAAATACTACCCATAAACTATACATTTGACCGACTTATTAAATTTGATAGTGTCACATTTTTTCAAGAGAAATATCTCTAATTCACTGCCTGTTTTAAATACCTACCTATTTCCCCAGATGTGTTTACAATGTTTTGCGACTTATTACATATACTGAATTGCAAAGTCAGTTTCATTACTTTTTCTAACCACACGCAACTAACCACTTTGTAAACTTAAGTCATTTTTGTAACGTATATTCGTGCTACCATCTGTTTGGATTCTATAAAATATGTTGATATCTACTGTATATGTCACAGGTATTGCAATTTACTATACCACTTCTCTACACTCGTTTTATAAGGTAAGTGTTAGACAGTAATAAAAAATAGTATTTTCCGTAAATATCGTCATTTCATTCTATTTGTTGGGAAGGAATAATCGTATGAAACGACAAGTATGAATTGAAAGTGGTTTAAGCTGAATAGCTTTTTTTAATCCTCAAGTAACCCTGTCACATACTTCGATTAAATTGTATTGCTAGGTTGGTAGAAAAAATTTAAAAGGACTTTGCCGGGTATCTAATAATTGGCTTGGGCTGTCAGTGATATGAAAGGATACAACAAAAGGACAAGATTATCAAGACAAAATGAAAACATCTCGACGGTAGATGGAAACCGAGGTTATATGGAACAATAATTTGTTCAGGGTTAGGAATCTTTAAGTAGATGCATTAATTGCCTCAAAGTTTCTTTAAAATGATTAATATTACTTGTCGAAGAATTATTTCACAGTCCTACAGAAAAACTGAGTTTATATGCTCAGTCCAAGTTTAATCCTTGATGATCCTTCAGCTCTTTTACTTTCTTGATGAGTGACGTAAGTTGGGAGATTCCAGCCGGATCATTTACTTTTACCTCTGAGGATAATTTTTCACTGCCTCAAAGTCAAAAGTTACAAATAACTAACTGACTTATGCAGTGAGGATGGTACAGGTATTCAGTGTTTGACAACGCTTTTACCAGTAACACCTAATATAACTCGTACCCATCAAGAGAACTCAAAAGACAGAATCGAGGAGATCGGAAGAGTGTATTTGGCGATAACCAATAAATCGGAATTGTCTGATCTAATCTGGCTAGCGATTGCGGTAGATGTTGAGCACGGCGTTCCCACACGTGATCTGGTGCGGATGCATGACCGAGCGCCTTCAGCTAGGTGAGTCCATTAAAACTAATCTGGTCAGCATCCAATGTCGAAAACTTACAGAGATATTTATTTTGGGGATTTATTTACCACTACAGCAGAATTGAGGTTATACCTATCCTATTTCAATGTTGGCTTATCTGTATTTTTAGTTGTCCTTTTGCTGCAATTTCTGAACTTTCTGCAGTTTTGAGTCGTTAAAAAGAAGTGAACTTACAGAAAACCCTTATAAATCTAAGTCATTAGAAAAAATCGGATGATGGATTTTAGATCTAGAATCTTGATCCATTTCACCAAGATATCCAAAAAGAAAGTTCAAACCATTTAGTATGTAGATGTATCAAAATACAAAAAAATGCATCATTTTCAGTTGCCACGTCTTACGAACTTTTCATGGATTTTCTACATTATTATGTTTGTTTATTTATCAGCATTTCATCTATTCATTTTAACTTTATGAAATCCATTCATTATAATCAATCCTTCGAATTCCTCCTTCATGATAGTAACAAGTGGTTACTCGTTAAGTCAGTCAGTCAGCTACAACATAGGACCAGGCAAATATATGCATCGGTCCAAGTTGCCATACCTCATTAACACAACAAGATGAACACCGAATCCATAAAAGTAGTTAGTTCAGAGGTGTTAATATACAAAAGAAAGATTGCATATGAGGATATAGTAAAGGAAGGAAGAATTAGTTCGTAGAAAGAAAGATGTGAAGCGATTTTAATCTCTTAGTTTAAGGGAAGACAGAGAGTGTATACACCGAGGCCATCGTGATCGATTCTGAGCCACCAAGAGTCTCCAACCATTGGTTACGATAGTCACGTGGACCCCAACCAAATAGTCTGCATCTACCGTCAACATGGCTCAGACTAGAAGTTAGTGACTTTGTGGACTGATGCCACGTTTTGGTTTGGCCGCCCCTAATTTTCTTCCATCTGACTGGTCACAATCACTTATCGTCGTTGGGAGTTACTCGTTAAAGTTAAACATCATTTAAGTTTTATGTCATACACCTTCAATTTTACTACTAAGATGAATCATACTCTGACAAATGGATTGCTATTTTGAATCACGGAAGATTTTGCAAAAAAAATTGTTCTTTCTTTAAAGATAATTAGGTTAGCAATCTTGAAAATCTGACGGTTCACAGTATTATTTATTTACAAATTGAAATAACGGGTCGATTTACATAATACTTTCAATTAATTAGCCAACCATGCTTGTAATGTGAAAATAAATTATAATAGATTAGGTTGGATTTTACTTTGTAAATATAACTTTAGTTACAGTTAATATTAGCTAAAATGCCATTGGTAAACAGCAATCAATGAATAACTTACTCTATGACATTGCGAATGAGGTGTACGCGACACAAAATGTGTTGAGAGTATGGAAACACTTGTGTTATAGCAGCAGTTATTGCAGATGAGTAATCATCGACAATGCTAACCAACTCTCGATCAAGACTGTTAAATAGGCACCTTATCAAACGCCGTTTGTATTGCACAGGGCAATAACTATAATAACTAAGATATTGTTCTGTGCAACACAAACGAAGTTTGATAAGGTGCCTATTTAACAGGCTTTATCGTATTTGCACAAATGACGCTATTGATGATGATGTTAGGTTGTTGAACAAAACACTAGTGGGAAATGGCTACCCCTTTAAATTAATAAATAAATGGAAAGTTCATGGCACAGTGAGACCTACTATAGCCTTGGCGGAAGAAAGCCTGTCTACATCACCTTACCATTTAGAGATGATTCAAATAGCCTTTTATTGAAACAAAGGCTTAAATCAGTCATTAACAAGACGTATTACGCAGCAAAAATCATTATCAAGGAAAGAACAAGGTTCATGTCTCATCGAAAACCTAAAAGACATGAAAATGACCGAGTCACATCTCACTCGGTTTACCAAATTAAATGTGTGTGTGGCCACAAATACATAGGGAGTAATCGTGATCTCAAAATTAGGATGTGTGAACATGTACCTAAATAGCTACAGAAACATATAGAATCAAATGATCCAGTAAGAGTAGAGGATAAACATCAATCATCCTCTATTGCCAAACACATAATTGAAACAGGTCATAAGATTAATCTTAACTTGGCTTTTGTGGTGTTGTGCAAAAGTGTAAAGGGCGTCTAAATGATAAGAAGAAGGTGATAATTAGCAGTTATAATTTGTAAAATTCAAAGAGGTGCTAAGACTATGAATAATAAAGGATTGAACTTGACTCTTCCGTGCACAGAGGTCGGGTTTGAAGTGATGAATTGCTATAGCCTCAACTACGCACAACATCCTGATCTAAAAAATTTTTCAGCCAGTTATTTTCGCGTTTTGTTGAGGATTTTGAAAAACGATTAACGTGTTGAGGTGTGATTCGAATTGATCATATGCTATGCAACTGAGCTGTTGATCGATCTCTCTAATTTCGTTTTTCTTTTGATAGGTGCAAATGTCAATGCAAAAACTAAATTTGGCAGGACACCTTTACATATCGCTGCAGCTCATTTTTCATCAGGAGAAATAATTACAGATCTTGTTAATCGTGGTAATATTTAATTTTAGATTAGCTGAATCAAAATGTTCGATTAAAAATTTACAGTTTTGGTGGAATAATATACCTTTATTTCCTGAAGAAAAAAACTTTAACCAATTCTAAAGGTTGAGTATTGGTCACTTAATCTGATGGTTCTGGGTTCGATCCACTACTAGGGGTGTTGTTGTTATTGTGAACACTTTAGATGAAAAAGTGTATGGATTATTCATTAACTAAGGTATCTGAGTATAGTTCTGAAAATACATTCTTTAGTAAAACTGACAAAAGTATTGAATAGCTTTTGAAATGTGTGTGATTGTTCAGATTATGTCTTTGTTTATAGAAAGTTCGTAAGAATAGTGTTCAATGAATTTTCCTCGAGGAACTGAAATAAATTCTTACTGGTTGATTCCAGCCATCGAAAATCATCCACAAGCTTAGCGGAAGTTATTTATAGTATCGATCTACCTCATTCCGTTTCAAAACGAAGTTATTGGTAATGCGAGTGATATTAATATAACTCAGAAAACCGAAGTATTGATAAAAGGTTGTGCTTGCGGTCAGACAACGTTTTGGTATGTCTCTTTAAAACAAGTGGTAGACTTGATCAGCACAGACAACACATACTTATGTGTACACTCCAGATCGCAGCCAAACGGTATGTGACAGATGTTGATGAATGAATACTAATGGTCGAGAGTTGGGTCAATTGTTCGACATAAATACGTCTATATATATTATTACACAAACAGAAGCAATAACTCAAACCAACTGTCAGAATCATTCATAATGAAATATAGCATGAGTTCTGAGTCTTCCTGTAAGCTACATTGAGAATACTGGTAGTATTCACAGCAGTTGATTTAATAGATCAGATTATTGGTTTCTTATTCGTTAATTTAAATAGGTTACACAATCCATCGCTACCACTGCTGTAATGTGGTATGATAACCCATTGTTTGCTCTTTTTCTAATGTCACACTTTTTGAAATAAAAGATTTCATCTTCAGAAGAAACCTATGCAGTTTAATTGACTGTTCAGCCCTTATCCTGGTCTGTGCATTCTCAGGACATTTGACTTTGTTTTTATAATGAAGAAATACTAGAGCTCTGGATCGAGAGAATGGTAATGAATAAATTTAACTGCGTCATTGTAACCAAATTAAAAAATCCCTTGGTTATGACAAAATTGTTATGCATTAAAATCTTCACCCAACACCTCAAGTCATTGATCGTGTTTAATATAGTTTGGACCAAAATTTAGTTACTTTATAGATCGACGCCATGTTCTTGTTTGGCCGCTTGCAGATTTGGAATATAGAAATAAAATTTATCTATAGTGTTAAGCAAACTTATTTTAATTTCTTTTATTTTCTAGGCGCTGATATAAAAACGAAAGATATTTTTGGTGAAACTGCATTAGATATAGCTCGACGGTATGGTAATCATCATGTAATTAAACAAATACTACGACTTAGTTGGTTACAAAGATGTAAATCTTCAAAACCACAATATTCGAATATACCTCTGCGTGCTTTTCAAATGTGTGATTCAGCGTATCCGAAATGGCGTCGAAATCTTAATGGTCAAATCTATTTACAAGTTAGTACATCTATAGCTATTAAGTTGATGATCTTGGTAATTTTATTTTTTAAAAGTTCACTTATTTAAAATTAACTGAAAAAAGCTTCTTAAAAATAATAATTACTTATGAGAAACATGTAACAACAGTGTGAGGACGGTCCACGGGTGAACTCGAGGAAGCTCTAAGAATCTCAGAAAGAGCCGAAGATATTCCATCCAATCATCTTACGGAAGAATATTCCAGAATCCCTACATGTAGCTTCCCGATTAGACAAGTGCTAATGACCCCCTGTGTGCGGATTGGATAACTATAATGATGATTTCGTTTTTACTAAAAACTATAAATACCCGACAGTTTTGTACCATAATTGACACTGTTTGAAATAACATTCCTTTCACTTGTTTTCTGTCTTCTCATTTGCGAATTGAGAGTGTTCTAGTGTTCGAGTGGTCAATTTATACGCGGTATATTAAGAATCTAAGCTCTTGATATAACAAACAGTTTAAATACATATGTATAATATATTTGAATCATATTTAACAGTAGAATCCACAATAATTGTTTAATCCTATTTGCTGTTCATAATTTGGAACTATCTCTATACTAGTGTTTATATTTTATATCTCATTGCTATTCATTATCTAGAATATACAATTCACTAATAATCCAATACAACAAGGTTTTTGGTTGAGATCATGAATTAATTGATGTTAGACCACCGTTGGAAACCTGGAAGCACTGGACGGCCGTTTCGTCCTAGTATGGGATTCCTCAGCAGTGCGCATCCACGATCCCGCACCCCGCGGGATTCGAACCCAGGACCTACTGGCTTTGCGCCTGAGCACTTAACCATTAGACCACTGAGCCGGCATCCAATGGTGTTAGTGTCTAACACCAACCAATCCACGAAATCGCGCGACCACCTTCCATTGTACTGAGGTAGATACCTGTCTCTACCCGACACGGATTAGCTCCACTGGTCACGACTTCTCACTAGAACTCCGGGAATTCCCTCACGAAGCTAGTCACTAGTGAGCACATGTTAATTATCAGTATGGGGGTTGTGGAGATTGTTAAGTTTTTGGTTGAGATCATGAATTAATTGATGCTAGACCACCGTTGGAAACCTGGAAGCACTGGACGGCCGTTTCGTCCTAGTATGGGACTCCTCAGCAGTGCGCATCCACGATCCCGCACTGCTGAGGAGTCCCATACTAGGACGAAACGGCCGTCCAGTGCTTCCAGGTTTCCAACGGTGGTCTAGCATCAATTAATTCATGATCTCAACCAAAAACTTAACAATCTCCACAACCCCCATACTGACAATAAGGTTTATCTACTAATATTAGTTGTATAATAATATACCCTTGTGGGCCAGGATAATTTTACATCGGTTTTCAGGAGAACCAGACATCATCCGGACTTTCACGTGAAAACCCAAACAGTACAGCTCAACCCCGTTTAGCAGGACAATCAGACACCGTATAGGCTTTAACGCTAAAATCTGAATAATACAGCTCAATCCTGTGGCGCAACCACACAGGTACCAAGCACCCTGGTGGACCATTATCTACTAATAGAGACTAATCAAAATTAGTTGTGAATGTAAACAATAAGAAAACTAATGATCGTGAAATATTACATTAACTTGTGTTCGTTCGAAATGGTACCTCCTTATATTTCATTCATCTTTTTCTTTTCTTTTTTTATAATGTAAAATTGAGAAACTTACACCAAGAGGTGAATATTTTGGATCAAGACTGGATGCACCAAAATGGAATTGGCCTAAATTAGAAATGGTATTAACTAGAAAACAGATGTAAGCTTAGAAATACTTTCATTTTTCATTCATTTCTTTGGTTCGGTTTTATAGTGATTGATTTAATTATTAGAATGTATTCAATCACAAACTGATCTGAATTGGGATATAATCATATTGAATAAAATTGAGATAGTACCAGTGAACATGAATTCAGTATTTTTAATGATCATGTGTTCACAGCGAGACCCAAATATTGTAGGTTTCATCCTTGACACTGTAGCAGATGGACACTATTGAGCAGTCCTATACCAGGACAAAACAGCTGTTCAGTACTCATCGGTTTCCAATGATATCCCAACTGAGATCAATCGGCTACAGCTTAACAGATTACTTCGTTCTTATTGGGATTACAAAAAATAATGCTATCATATTGGTTCATGATGTGAAAATGTGTCTAAATTGATTAATTAGACCCATGAAATTAATTCATTCGGGACTTGTTCTATTCAAGGCAGCTACGTTGATGAATTGGAAATCAAATTTCAAAGCTTCATTAAGGTTCAGTGTAAAACTATTATACACCATGAAGGTGACTCAATTGACTATGTATATAATTGTCAGTTGTTATACCATAGATCCAAATGTATTAGCGACTTTTGTATTTCCGTTTAGCATTCAAGTTATTGAATGTGCTACCTATCCTTATTTTTGTTTGTTAACCCGAAAATTTTAAATATTGATATGTAAATATCTCAGATGAAAAGTCCTTCACTCTTTCCACCGCAAATTAGTAACCCATTATATATTCATCACTCAAGATTATGGCTCGCTATACTTAAAGAAGTACATCATCACTACCTGGTTAGTTTTAGTATTACACTTAAACGTAGCATTTGTTTGTTTGTATCATTATTCTACAATATCTTTTTACGAGATCGGATTATCAATATAAATCTCAGAGTGTTACCAATGATGGTACAAAACACTAGGCATAGACAACGTGATTCTAGAATACATAATGAATTCGTGTCATGAAAAAGCATACGTTCATTATGAAACTGAAGATTTACGGAATGACAAGGAGTGAATGCATGTGCTCAATTGTAATAGATTTTGATTCATGTTATCTAACATCTCCAACCATTGATTATGATAATCACTCATGCTAAAAACAAGGTAGTCTACACCTGCCAACATAACTTAGTCTAACACTATGATCTCATAGAGATATCAATCATAAGTTTTGCCACTTCCAATTTCCTAACAGTTTACTCCTACATTAACCACTATCCCCCATCTAGATAGACGGTAGTTACACATACCTTATACATATTTGATTTGTTTTAATAACTTTTCAATCTATACTAATCAAAAACTTGTTTTGTTTTATTTCAACAAATGAGTATTCAATTGTATTAACAAAATTTGTTTCCTACTTTTAGGCACCTTGAAGCAAGATCAACTGGTAATCGTATCAAATCTGCTTTACCTTTTTCATGTGCAAAATAACATCGTCATCATCATCATCATCACAAAGCCTAACTAACAATAAAGCGGAATTTTAAATTTTGCACATTCTAAATTTTATGTTCAGATAATGCAAGATGATATTCTTGTTTTTCCATACAACACACATCCAATAATCAAAATAAATGGATGTTTATAATGTAAACTATATTTCTGTTCAATAGTTCACTGTTATTCGCTTAGACCAATTATGTTTATTGATATAGATGAGAAACTACTTAAACTTATTTATAAGTAATTTGAAAATAATCCATTGTATAGTATTCAGAAACCATTTGAAACACTTGAACACATGTATGTTGTTCAAGTTATATAATATACCCTTGTCGGTCAGGGTAATTTTACATTTGTTTTCAGGAGAACCAAACACCATCCAGACGTTCACATGAGAACCTAAACAGTACAGCTCAATCCCGTTTAACAAGAGAGCCAGACATCGCATAGGCTTAAATTTTATAACCCGAGCAGTACAGCTCAATCCCGTTTAGCAGGAGAACCAGACACTGTATAGGCTTTAACGCTACAATCTGAATAGTATAGCTCAATCCTGTGGCGCAACCACACAGGTAAAAAGCACTCTGGTGTACCATTCATATACACATTCACGTCACATGTATAGTTATTCCGATCAGTGACCGCGTAAATCAATTATGCACAGCACGAACAAGCCAAAGTTGACGTATTCCGCTTGCACGACAGTCAAACTCATTAATGTTAGCACTGGCGACATGCCTTACAATATCTCAATGACAATGGCCCTTGAGAACACTGAAAAGCAACCACCAGTATGAATGAAATCGGTTAACCAGCAAACCAATTTTGTGCATGAACAGTCAGTAAAACTTGCCAAAGTAGTGCCGAACCATCCACAACATCAATGGCAAACCTCCAGTCTCATATGAGACCTTCAGCTCTACACAGCCATTTAGCTTATACTGAATGCAATACATATGTAGGATAGCGCAGCCTGAATCGTTAGGGTTTAAACAACCCTTAAAACCCATTGTCTGGTGTCAGAATACTATCACTACATCACCAAGATCATTTTTATCGCATTTGCGGAATTTTCATTTTTCCAACTTTTCAGACCCTGAGTTAGGGGTAGTATCCCTATGTTGTTCAAGTATATTGGATTAATTAATAATGCACTAGAAATCGAATGTTTGACCTTCTGATCTCTCAATAAACACGTTTGATCTAGTCTACTGATTTGGTACGTCCAGTGATCCACAGTTACAAATATAATCATTATTAATAACTATCTCACTCCTAACATGATTAAACTCCAAGGGATGATTGTTAGATTAGTCCTTAATATTGATCATGTTTGCGTGATCTAGAATTCCAGTATTTATTTCCAATTACGTAACTTGAAAGTGTGTGAATCTCAGTTCAGTTGTAGACATTCTTTCTAGATAGTTATCGAGCTGTAATATTTTTTCCACCGTTGTGTACATAAGTATTTACAAAATATCCTTGTAAATCTTAAAGAAATTAAAGCATCATTGTGGTGATTTTACGCTTTGAAGGTAGTTTACTTCATCACGAACTGAATTAAGCCAGACAATGATTGAAAAAACTGAGTAACATTGGATAGTTGTTACTTTCTAGTATGGAGTGATGGTCGGTCGATCATTTAGTGAATTGACTATATTTGGGAATTTTAACAAGCAGATCCCAACTCATTTGTTTAAATCTGACTTACCATGAGGTCGTACTAAAGTCATTCCGCTGTATAACCCTCTTTAAATATAATGTATTTTAATGATACATTGACTTTGTAAATAAGTTCATCATGACGTATTAAATAGAAATAATGGAAAAGGTCTGACAAGTGTGCTTAAAATCTAAACTGTGGTTATGCACTCTTAAGTGCTAGTTGTACAATTAACTAACAAATAAACACTCATAAAGCTGAAATTTAACCAACCTTTTCTGGTCTATTAAATTACATTATATACTAATAACATGTGGTGAAGTTTATGTGTAAGCCTGTATGGTATCATTGAATTCCTGTGCGACATTATTCTTGATATTAAGTCATTATAGATAGTCTCCGGGCTATTCTAGACCCAAGTTTTATCCTTTTTGGTAATTATTGGTAAAGTTTACCTGGAATGCTAATAGTCCTAATAGACTCGAATTCAAATCACCCAGTTTTATAGTATGAAACGTTAACACAGCTATTCGCGCTGTAACTGGTTTCCTATAGAACTAAGATATTCACATTGATTGGTCATACGGTAGCGATCAATATTATATTTGATTGAGAACTTTACGTCAATAGCCTGATAATAAAATATTGGGGAAATTAATATAGCGCAAGAACACGACGAGTATTGAAGAGGTTATAACTGATTTTCGGAATATTATTGTTTATAGTTCAATGGTATAATTAAGAGACAAGTATGTTATTGTATTTATATGTTCTTCTTATTGTAAGCTTTCAGTGGACATTTTAACTATTGTCATGCGTTTTATCGTTCTTTAATTATTCCTAACGAATTACATACTGTTTGTTTCACTGTCTGCCACTTATGCCATGATTGTGCTTATAGTATGATTTCTTTTTGGGGGTTTTGTATGACCTCATAATCAGTGTATATAAGCTAATTAGTGTTTGAGATAGGTGCTTGCTATGCTTGCTGCCTGGACTAGTCGATTGAAATATAGTAATGATAAAAGCTTGACTTCTGATTTCTCCTCGGACTCAAAGCTGGAGATGGAGAAAGGCATGTGGATAGGTGACCAATAGGAGTGTAGATTAAATTAGCTCAAGGTTAATTTTATCGTTCAGAACGTATCGTTGCTCCATGCTAAAGACCCTAGGCTATAGTTAGAATAGCAGACGCTGGGTAGTGAAATTATAACCGGAATTTGGATTGGCGAATTCAGCCAGCAATATCGATTCAGGTTTCCGGTTGCCAAAACTAATTTTACTAAATAACAAAAAGGAGCTAGACTTCGGAAAATATTCTAAATCTTAGGGAAGATTACTTACTAAACAAAAAATTAATGTTTTTGTTATGTTGTACAGAAATATGATAATCTCCTGTCAACAAAACAGAACATTCACGAATGAATTCTCCTATACAAGTTATACTATTTGTCGTAGGAACTTAGCCCTTAAAAAGCACTGCAATATAACAAACAAAAAAGCCCCCTTTTAGTTATACACTGCCATCAAGTGTTTTGTATTTGAATCCCACAGGGAGCTTTAGTCCTGTAGGGACTAAAGTTAATTACCTACTGACAAGTCCCAGCAGACGTGAAAAGGATGAATAGCAACTGGAAAGGACTGCCTATGACAGAGTTGGATGGAGAATGCTGCTGAGCGGCCTATGCTCCAACACGTGGGGTAACAGCAGTAAATAAGTAGGTATATTACCGTAATTTAGACTATTCTCATACTAATTAACTATTATTATAGATTTTACCATTAATTAATCATTGTTAATTAAGTATTTCCATCTTTCTACGTTTTCTGCCACTTATCACTGTGGTTGTATACTGGAAAAATCAAACTGAATCATTCACCGGGTATGTGAGCATGAGCCACACTCCAAGTTTAAGAGATAATTATACTATTTGGCTAACCAAATGTAAGTAAGTAGAATGAGATTCAGAGTTGGGATAAGTGATTGAAAGTCGAACACCTTAACCACTAATCCGAAGCATAATCTATGATGCCTTTCTCATTTGCGGTGTCAGGTTGTCTGATGATTACCTTATTTAAACCCATGAATGTTTAAACATTGAGTATTGAACAAAACAGATGATCGCCTGCTTGTTGTTTTCTTATTTTGTATCAAATACTGGGCGAGGAGGTAGACATGTTAGACTAATAGGTAATAAGAATTATCTCGATCACCACTCAATGTTGACTTTTATTGATCAGAGTGACCCATTGGTGACGGTTAAGCTAGATGATCTATGGGCTCAAAGTATACTTGGATTGATCAGTCATAATGCAGATCCTTATCAGTAGAATTTTATCCAATGTACTCAGTTAAGGGAACATATATAGAAGAACCTAAGGTACAACACCTATAAGATACAAAAAGTATCTTCTGAATACAAAACTCAGTTCGAATGAAATAATTAATAATTCAGATAACAACATTAAACCGATAAGAGACTAGTGGATAAAGAACCTAATTTTTAATAATAGATATTCAGGAAGTTAACAAACGACAGTTATTCTGTACCACAGATCAGTATAATCTAATGATCCTTGGCGTTGTGTTATGAAAGCTAGATATATCGAGACTAGCATCTATCAGTACATAATAACTCTATAGTTGATTTCCTAAAAATCGTAGAACCCACTGGATTAAGACTTTATCAAATACTGCTTAGAATATAAATTGCTAGAGACTGTTCTTTAGTTTTCTCTAATTAATCTTTACATCTTTAGAATGAGATGAATTTACTAAAAGTGTATGAAGTGTCTTTTGACTGTATTTTTAATTGAACAGTATTTCTCACTAGATGCCACTTTTGTTCTCTAATTCCTCGACTGAACCATAGTGAACAAAGACACAAGCGAGAACAACCAAACACTCTGCAATACAAAAATACGGAGTCGCTTACTAAAATCTGAGACTTACTTACTTACTTACACCTGTTACTCCTCGTGAAGGAGCATAGGTCGCTCACCAGCATTCTCCATCCAACCCTGTCCTGGACAATCCTTTCCAGCTCCTTCCAGTTGTAATTCATCCTTTTCATATCTGCTTCTATTATCCGACGTAATGTGTTCTTTGGCCTTCCTCTTTTCCGCTTCCCTTCAGGATTCCAAGTTAAAGCTTACCTCGTGATGCAGTTTGACGATTTGCGTAATGTATGTCCTATCCATTTCCATCGTCTTTTCCTAATTTCTTCTTCAGCTGGAAGTTGGTTTGTTCTCTCCCACAGAAGGCTATTGCTGATGGTATCCGGCCAATGGATGTTGAGTATCTTGCGTAGACAGCTATTTATAAATACTTGTACTTTCT